CAGTTGAGCCATCATCACTTGGAAGAAAACTGGAAATGTCTGCCTGGAGAGGAAAAAGCCAAGAGCCGATTAAAGACTGTTTGTGCATCTGCAGGGAGCGCTTACTCCCTGAGCAGGCTGAAAACTCCAGAGGGCAGCTGGACTGGACAAACCATTTGTCAGGCAAAAGCAGTGGAGTAGTCATGTAGGTGCACTGAAGCACTGCAACTCAGGGCTGAGTGCTGGGTACAGGCAACAGAGTGGCAGGAGAGGAACCACGGCAAGGGCTTTCCAGATTGGCACAAGTACACTGTAACCTTCCGGACTGCACATGTAGGCAACGGAAGACGTGCCCGTGCCCAAATGCCATTCACGATTCGGACCGCAAAGACTCAGCGCGCACCATGCATGGCCCTGGGCAAACCCTGACTGCCCAAGACCCTTCTGGCTCACAGGCTATGTCTACACTTAATGGGGGTGCCTGTAGCAAGGGGCCAGCTGTGGCCTCTCTCCTTGAGATATGGGGAGAGCACTGTGCCCGCCTTACATGTGCTGGAGAATGTGGGACTCCCCCTCCACTGGAGACACAGGGAGGACTGCCCTTGTGCATAGACAACATTCAGCCCGCATGCCGCTGAGCGAGTGGTGGGATGAAAGGCTGTCCAGCTATGGTGACAGCGGCAGCAGAGATCCAACTCCTGATTCTTTGTGGAACTGTGTCACTGCTCTAGCGGACCCGGGGCAGCTGTAACATGCACTGCTAAGAAAGTGCCCAGCAGTTCCCCCCATGTGTCAACATTACTAGCCTGAACCCTTAACATCAGACAAGAGAGAGCAGCCAATAAGCGAGCTGGCCGTCCAACAGCAGCAAGTGCTATTGTGCAGGTCTCTGTGGATGTTATTACCTGGTCAGCGTGGGGTAGGTAGCAGAATATCCATCCTTAGCAGAATTCATCAGCTCTGGGACTCCGACACTGGAGATCTCTTCCACAGCTTTCAAGATGTTGTCTGTGTGCTCCATGTATACACTGAGACCGAACGTCAGGACAGTAAGTCAGCACAGTCGCTTCCATTACAAAACCCATTCCAGACCTCCCTCTACCCTGTACCCTTGGCTTGGAAAACCGGTTGGGCCTGGAGACTGCAGGAGCTATTCTGATTGCAGAGGAGAACAATCCTGTAAAGTCTGAGGGAAATTCATCAAACTGTCCCTGAGCTACATGTCACTGAAAATCACTGACGTGAACCTGTGCCTGCCTGCCTGCCTTTCTTTTGTTGCTAGCTCATCAGAATCTGGTTACAGCCTTCCAGAGTCAGAACTCCTTAAACTGACATGGCAGCTACACCTGAAGAAATAGGTTGGGATTAAGCAAAAATATCAAGTTATTTGTTGTGGTTTGTCCCGCTCCCACTGGTCTCAGTTAAGTTTTTTACCACTGTCCTTAACAGAGGCAGGATCATACTACACTACTGCCAAGATGCACACGTCACACACACACACACACTTTCTCTCCCCCTCCCGCACCTGGCACACACACACACACACACACCTGAGCACCTCTCACACACACACACACAGGACTGTACTGACAAGTCAGTGTAGAAAAAGCATACGGCTTTGGGGGGTCTTTCTATAGCTGAGGTCTAACAAAGTTCTTCCTTTAACTCAAGTGTTTCTGGAGGCGTAAGTACAGAGTTCTAGGCCTGGCGCTGCAGCTGCACAGTTTATGCAGATGGATGCCTCTTCAGAGTGAAGCTTGCAATAGCAGTACCCACATAAGGCTGATTTTTATCCCCTGCTCACTACAATACGAAAGACGTCAGTTTTGCTCTCAGCAGCCAAGTCGCTGCAGAGCAGCAAGCGCTTACCAGAGCAGAGCATGCAGTGCATCCCCGAACTGGCTCCCCTTCTCTCGCATGCCACCAGGCTGCACCCACGACTGGCAGAGGAACCGTTTGGCAAGGGAAGCTGGGGAAGATAAGCAGTCGGGTGAGCACAGTCCTGGCCGTCGCGCACAAGACAAAGCTCTTGAACGCGTCTAATTGTGGCGCGATTCCACTTCTCTGCTGGGCACCTGCCAAAGACTCCTTAGAGATCATTACTCGCCACACTAACGAGACTGACATACGAGCCTCGTGAGTTCCTGGCCAGGCACAGTGCTTCTCATCAGTCACCTCGCTTTGGCCAGTCCCATCTGAGAATGCTCCCGCAGGGTTCCTTTCCTCCCTCCGGCTTGTGGAGCCAGGAACCAGTTTTTCCCGCTGCTGGGGCTAAGTGTCACCCCCCAAGGGAGGTTCTCCAGTGCTGACACGAGTATGCACTCAAAGCGATGTGCCAACGACAGGCGAACGTTCCCGGTGTCTCAAGCTGGCACTGGTGCTCCAGCATACGAGGGGAGGGGGAAGCCCTAAGCCTTGAGGGTTTGATCAAGGCAAGCTGCAGCCAGATCCAGGCTTTGCTTGGCAGGGGGAGGACGTGGCCCTGGCACTGCAGGGAGGTGCTTCTTGCAGGCACCACCCTTCCTGCCACTCCCATTGCCTCAGGCCCCCCCCCCCAAAGTTAATCCCGGCCCTGTGGCAAGTCCTGAGCCTCGGTGCCTCCCCTCCATTGTCACCCCGTGGGGCTGGAGCTTGAGGGACCGGGGTGAGTCTTTTTTCCAGCTTCTCACTTGTGAGCCACATCTGTGCGGTTTTCTTCTCCTCGCTTGGTTGCCTGGTCAGCGAGGGGCTTTATTTAGTGCTTCTCACTTGTGTGTGGCCCCGGCTGTTTTTCCTGTGGGTCAGTGGCCCCTGGCCTAGAAGCGGCTCCCCGCTCCTGCTCTAGACAGACAGATCCATCCGACTGCGGCTGGCACACTTTGCCCAACCGCCCGGCAGGGAGGGAGATTCAACTGATTTGCTGTAATTGTAGCTTCGAATCACAGAGTCAGTCCCCCCACCCTCCCCTCAAATGTGACTGAGCTGTTCTGGGGGAAGGGCCGTTGGGAACACTCTCCATGGCAGAGCACATGTGACTGCACAGTTCTGGACAGTTTCGGGGATCCCAGACAGACACCATTAGCATGCAAGACTTTAGAGCTGGGGCCTGCTGAGAGAACTCTCAGTTTCAGCAGAGTCTGGGAAATGCAGGCCAGCAAGCTTCCTTGTAAAAAGATCTTTCAGCCCGCATGGCTGCTGCCCCCTTAGCAAGGGAACGCTAATCAGCTGGCAAGAGCGGCTTCTCTTGCTCTAGTAAGGCTTGTCTAGCGCTTTTCTATCACTGTGCTGTGTGGTGCCAGAAACCAAAAGGGTCAAAGTGGAACAGCCCCCCACTGGGATGCAGTTATACCTTTCTGGCTTAGCCTCATTCATTTATGTAAAAAGGCTGTAGTTACAACACCTTTATAATGGCTGACACCAGTGGTTGTACCAATTACCCCCTTAACCAAAGGAGTTCAGAATTAACTCTGTGTGTAGAACAGGCCTGAGTTAATCATGTTAGATGCTGCGCCTCAGCCATCTGGCATTTGAGCCTTCATTGCTCCTGACCCAACTCCTACTGGAGCTGTCCGTTGTGTTGTGTGACTGACGTATAACAAAGCAGATGGGAAAGAGCTTGCCACACATTTAGCGTTACTCACGTGAGTGAGTTTTCTAGACAGCCTGCTGAGACTTCGTCCCTACGGCAAGTTCTACATGCAGAGCTGAAGTCTTACAGATAAAGGATGGCATGAGACCCTGTCCAGGAACAGCAGTTCTGCACACGTTACCTATTTTCTCTTTTTTCCAGCTGGCCACAGGTTTTTCAGCAATGACCATCAGGAGCTGGGTGAGGGTGAGTGCCCCTTGGAAACTGGGGACACTGTGCTGGAAATTCAGCAGGTAGTGAAAACTCTCGCTGCAGGACAGGGAAGGAAAGGAGGAAGACACTGTAGATAAGGCATTATCATGTACATGCACAGAGAGAGAGAGGCCGTGCCAGCCCAGAAACCCTGCTAGCCTGGCATCCTCTCTCCAATGATGATCAGCACTGGAAGCTTCAATACTGGAAAACCTGGCCCACAAAGGAAGGGTCTGTGTAGTCTCAGCCAGTCTGAGGCTGCGAAAACCTGGCCCACAAAGGAAGGGTCTATGTAGTCTCAGCCAGTCTGAGGCTGTGTCAGGCACGGGGATTAAAACTCACTTTATCTTAAGTTACTGGGGCTGTTCTCCCA